ATCTATTCATACTTTCATACGGTTGCTGGTCATTACAAATTATTCGATGCAAAAATTTCACGAAAAAACGCACAACAACGAAAAACAAATCGCATATATTCCATAAATTTAATAATTATTGTATTTTGCAATAACCAAAATTATTAACCAAACCATAAATTAAAGTTTAACAAAATTTTGAAAAATAAAACCAAAAACGTTGTAAAAAGTTGAGCGCTTCTCGCACATAAAATATGAAAACGAAAATAAAACATTTTTCGGGTTAACTTATACTTGCCATTTTACTATGCAGTACAGATTCGTATCCACATTTCTCTACTCTTAAACTCAATCTCGTACTGTTAATTATACATTTTATGATCATGCTTTTAGCTGATTTTTCGGGTATTTAAAAGTTAATCTTGAATCTAACTATGGTTTTGGGTAAACTCAACTTTTTTAATAAAATAATAACTAACAACAATGGTAACTGGTATTAATTTTTCTCTACAGTTTTGGTTAATTTGCAAAGTATTTAATATTTTTATATGGATATATTTTATATGTGCGCTTCTTGTGTGTCTTTAGCGAAAGTTTTGCAGGAATAGAATGCGTCTGAGTCAGGGTTTTTGAATTTGGAAATCTTTTACATTTAAATAATGATATGCGAAAGATTCTGTTGAAGACAATATTTACCGAGTGAACAATTTTGGTGTCACAGGGTTTGCTCTTTCACATCCCTTTTAAAAAGCTAAAGAAAAAAGTCTTTCCAATTCTATTCAGCAATTAATTTGAAAACAAAATCAAACCAACTCATTTGAAAAGCTAAAGAATAAAATACTATGTGGCAAAGTCCTACCAATTAAATAAAAAAAAAATTAAACCAACTTACAAAAATCTTTAAGTTTCTGTGACACTTTGTATAAGATCATATTCGGTTTCGATTTTTTAATACTTTACACAAAATATCCCTTGAGTTGATTTCCCGAAAATTACAGCAATCGAAACCTTTAAAAAAAAACCCTTGCTAATCACACACAACAATTCCGAATTCCGAATGTAATGAATCTTTAGCGAGATGGAGCCGTACGACGAGCGTTACGATGATTACTATGCCATGCCACCGCCTTCCGCGCATCCTGCCCACGGGCACCATCCCATGCAGCGATCCCGCTCAGCTCCACGTTATCCCCACGAGCGACCGCCTCCCGCCCAAGATCCCAATTATTATGGCCACTATGGAACCTCTAGGGGACATAGCCAGCCACGTCAGCAATATCCTTCTCAGCATCCCCAGCAGCAGCAGCAGTATTACGATGATCATGGCATGGAGATGGTTCCACCGCCACTGCCACCTCATAAGAAAAAGAAATCAGTGTTGAAGAGTCCACTGGTGGCCTTAAAGAACGCCCTGCTCAAGAGTACTAGGCCACTGAGAAGGATGAATAGCATGGTGGAGCCGGAAAGGAAACCCAAGGGCTTGCGACGCCAGCAATCGATGTTGGAGAGGGGTGTGCAAAGACCCTACTATCCGGATGAGTATCCCACCTACCCGGCTGGCTTTGAGGAGCGTTCCCATGGTGGCCAAGGCATGATGCAGCCCCATCCGCAGGATGTCTACTACCAAAGAGGTGGTCACTATGCCCCACAGCAGCAGGAGATGATGAACAGTACCTACCAGAATCTGGAGGGTGAGGACATCTATGGCAATATAGGCAACACAGTGCCACGAATGCCGCATCCCCAGGACAATGGTTACGGCTATGACCAATACGATCTCTATGCCAACCGAGCCTGCATTGATCTCGAAAGAAGGCAAGCGGAGGCAGCTGCAGCTTCTGGTGGCAGAAATGGAAGGAGAATAGTGCGACGTCACAGCACCACCACAGCAGATCGTGGAGGAAATCCAGGAAATCCTGGAAATCCGCCCAGAAGACCCATAATAAGTCCCGGCTACGAACAAGATCCCCAGGAGATCTATCAGACGCGCAACGGAGCCTACATGCTGCCCGATCAGCGAAGGGCGCCCAGTTCCGAGGTGATGACCCGCAGACGATTCTATCCGGGAGCGGCCAATGAGCAAACCGAGGAGGAACCCCTCTACCAATCGCGTCGTGAAATGCAGCGAGAAATGCAACGGAATCATCTGTACCAATCGAAACGCGAAATGCAGGAGAGGATTAGCCAGGGCAAGCGCGATATGGAGCGGGAGTTCAGTCCCCAGAGCAGCAGCAGCCAGTCGGAGACCTCGAATCCCGAGGCCATCTACCAGAGTCGGCGGGAGGCCAAAGCTCAGCTCAGGGATCAGATCTATCAGACGCGGCGCGAAGCCCTGGACAGCATGGCGGAACCGATTTATGTGTCCAAAAGGGACATGGGCAGACCGGCGCCCATCTACGAAACCAGAGAGGAGAGTATCCTCCAGTCCAGGGAAAATGAAACCGATGAGAAGAAGGAAAAAGAGGGCAAAACAGAGCAGATTCAGGTGGAGATCAATGCTCAGCCGGAGGAGCAAGTGGAGGACTCGACTTTAAGTCGTTCGGATCTGCAAAAATCCTCGGATACGGTGATAGAAAATCCCGCCAGGGCTCCTTTGGTTCAGGATGAGGTGGATGATGATGAGGAGGTTATACAGGATCCGGATCAGGATCAGGAGGATGATGCTGATCCTTCGAGCTCTGCGGAACAAACAGAGCATCCCACTGCCATTGAAAACAATCAGCATAATGAGGGAATGCTGGCCAGTGAAACACAAAATGTATCGGATGATGTATTCGAGGCAGCAGATCAGGTCTCCCCCTTGGCACCGCCACCAGCTCTGGTGCCCCTAACACCGCGATCCGGCAGAGCGCCCTTCCACATCTCGAATATCCTGAAGCGAACAGCTCCGCCACCAAGTTCCCCAATCGGCGATAGTTGCACCTCCATCGAAACCCAGTACACATCGCAGGCCAGCTTGCCAGTGGGTCCTCCCAATGCCACCAGTACTCCGTTCAGCAGCAGCATGTCACTGCCCATCGCCGGACCCGTGAATAATGCTCCTGCTCCCGTCAATGGACCCTTCCCCACACTGCCGCGTGAACCAAGCACTTCCCGGGGATTCTTCGACTCCAATGGTGGCACTTTGGCGGACAAACTGTGGCACGTCTCGCTGCAAATTCCACCCGGAGCAATTCCGCCGGGCGTGCGACAGGAGATCTACTTCACCGTCAGCGATCCGCGAATGGGACAAGCCGTCGGAGGTCCTCCGCTGGACATGGAAAATGGTTGGTCCCCCTCTAAACACAAAACACACACTCTACTCCGTATTGTATCCAATCCATCCACCAAAAAAAAAAAAAAAAAAAACCGCTACTACCACCAACCACTTGCCAAAAACACGTGTCTACTGTCTTTGATTTTGATTTTTATTACAGCATTTATTTCGTTTTTTTCTTTATTTAGTTGTTTTATGTTACGTGTTTAAGCTTTTCTAAATGGTGGCTGGTGATTAGTTGTATTTAATACTTATTTGCAGCCTTTGATGTTGAAAATACTAACCTGTAGATATGGCTTCTTGCATGTAACTTCATTTACATTTATTAAAACCTTCATTTATACTTTTTGTACCCTTTTTTCAGCATGTTATATTATCTAGAGACCCATTAAATATATAGCAACTACCTCCGATTTTGTATTGGATTTTAAAGCAATTATTATTATTTATAAATTATCCTAAATACTAATTTTTATTACAACTTTCATAAACTTTGAAAAACTATCTCAACCGAAACTTATTGAAACTTTCCCGAATGCAATTGTTTATGTTTCCAAGCCAACAAAGTCTATGTCTGTGCCCACTTACACTTCCTTTAATCCTACACGAATTTTCACACTCTATTACACACAACTCTAATTGCATTTGATAAACCCCAAGAAATTAACCAGATCGCCTACTAATAATCAAATTATTTGCCATCGCAGGTGAGACAATGCTGTCACCGCTGGTCATGTGTGGGCCGCAGGGCCTTGAGTTCCTGGTGCCGGTTACACTTAATATTCCCCACTGTGCCGGACGAACTGCATCACTGGGATTGGCCCTCAAAGCGACCGATAGCGAGAAGAACCTGCACACCGAGTGGGACAACATCGATCTGCCCAGCAATGCCGCCGCACACACCGTGTCCGTCAAGGTGGATCACTTCTAATCATTAAGATTCGCAGCACTACCATTCATCCGTAAACTCGAACGATAAACGCACTTGTAAATAGATCCATAATACCATTAATACATATATGATATATATTCTTAAGGCCGCAATTCCAGGGCAAGCAAAATGAGCTCAGCAAAGTGGTAGAGATAGGCATTGCTTATAATATAATTAATTTAATTCAATATTGTCTGTTAATTGTGCCTTTGAGTGATCGTTTGGCTCTGCCTTTCAACTATAATGTCGAGCTAGAAATAAATCAATCGAATGCAAAAGGATATTTGTATAAAGCGACTAGAATATAATTTCATAAAAATAATTATTATTGTGTATATTTTAAAGCACCCAATTACTATGTATTTTATATATTTACATAATTTTATGCATTTTAAATGATATTTACTTGACATTTTATAAGATATTCGCATATTGTTTCGACCCATGATCCATTTCGATTGCATTCAAATTGTTAATTGCGTGCAAATATTGCACGCCGAAGTTATATATATACCATAAACATTTATAAATCGTAGCGATATAATTAGGGCCTATACACGCGCTTGTATAACCGGAAAGAAAATCATAATATACAACTATTTATACGCATTTTTGTATTAAAGATTATACACACGTGGAAAGTTTGGGAATAAATAAAAGAGCAACAATAATAAGTGCTTTGTCGAAATTATTTCTTGGCCAAATGGTACTAAAAAAAGGCATTGTATGGGGAGTGCATTTATTGTTTCCAAAAAAGGTAAATATTTTACTTGCTTTTATATCCTCAAAACAAAAAATTATTGCTCCAAGAGGTCTGATATGATGTGATTCTCATTAATCTTTTCTCATGTATCTATTGCAATTTTTATAAAATTCAGTTTATTTATAATACATGTTAAAAAAGTTTCTTAAAATTATTTCTTAAAATAGTCTCTTAAATAGTTTCTTTGCTTTCCTTTAAATGTTTTCATTAAGTCTACTTCTTGCATTAAATTATTATTAATATTATGATCATTTTCAAATAAACCTAAATTTTGATATTTATGATAACGCTGAGGGTTTTCATTAATTAATTTGTCATAATTTTCTTTAAACGATGCAACCAATAAGTTGTTACGTATAAATATTATTTTTGCCGAGCGACATTTGACAGAAAGAAAATTATAATAATGTTCGTACATAAACCATTTCGACATTTCTAAGACGCTAAATCCAATATATATTGGCCTGTCATAAATAACATTAGTCTTTGTTGACTCGATCGCAGCTAAATTATTGCTAAAAACCTCAACACCACGAAAATTATTATTAGCAACTCGTTGTCTAAATCCTGGAGAATTTTGTTTGGACTGATAATGGGTTACCAAGGCCACGTCACGACGTTTTTCAACATTTTCCAATGACTTACCAACGATAACCTCATTCATAAGTTTAAAAAACTGCCATTCAAACTTATTTTTAGCTAATTTTTTGTGTTCTATATTTAAGTCAATATATGGCTTTAACCAGCAGGATTGATTAAAAGTCATCACGCGGTGTATCTTCGTTAAGACCAGTCCGTTCTGTAGGCATAATTGAAGGTGCTTCAAATGAATAATATACTTTTTTTTATCCGTGCAGGAAGCTGTCAGTTTCCTATGTCTTCCACCTGGAATAATTTCGTATTCAGGGCAGAAAGGCATACCAATGTGCGTCCTATAAAGATGATTTGGATACTCGATGTCTACTTCTAAAATGTACCCTACATCTCCATCTGCAGTTTGTGTTTTAACATTAAGAGTTTCAATTTCGGAATATTTTAAAAACGTAAAATTAGAAAATGGAAGTGGCTGGCTCATTGCCCATTCACTTAAATTGTTGGCCTCAAAACTGGCCAAGTAATGTATAGGCTTCTTGGGATCAAAATTATCCATGTATTTATTATTCGCTTTTGCACTCTCTTGGTTGCATTGAACCAGTCCGCCACGCACTGCACTTTTTAGGAAATTATACATGTCGGGATCACTAATTAAATCTAAATTTACTTTGGTGACTTTCAGCATCGCATCCCATGACATTGAAGAAGCTGTAGGATAATTAACTGGGTCTAATTTATATATTTCTAGGCAAGTGCGCCTAAAGTGTTCAAAAACATCTGCCAAGAGAATGACATCCCTTTCAAAATATGATTTTAGGTAATCTCCAATTCTATTACAACCGAAAATATCCCATACCCGATCAGCATAATTAAAGAAGTAATGATTTTTAGGTAGTCGTGTTTCGTTAAGTTGATCAAAACTTTCTAAAAAGTTTTTACGTAACATCTTTTTCTGCGACATCACATCAAATTGTTCGCCTGGAAATTGCATTTTTAAATTTTTTAAGTCTCCCTTTTCCATATAGCTAACAAGCTCTTCTAAGTTATAATTTAAAAAATTGTTTGAGTCCATAAACTTGATTTGAAACCTATCATATACATTAACCTGATAATGTTGACTAAACATTGTGTACAACTCTTGGCGGCCAGGAATTGGTTTAACATACTTTCCCAATTCACTAAATAATAAATTTGTGTCAAATCTCGTTAAATTGTGAAAAACTACTGGGAAAAAGGGTTTAGTTAACTTATATTTTGGCTTGCAATCACTATGGACAGGGCCTATATACTCTCCAGTAAATTGATTAAAGCACTTATTCAAAGAGCAAGTGTCAATATCCTCCTCGCAGACACAACATTGGCCAAAGTCCTGTGTAAACTCATCATAGATATCCAGATTGTAATTTGGCGGTTTTGAAACCTTCCAGTATTGGTTGTAAAGAACGACTAATTTTTCTTTAAGTGTTTTGCAGAAATTCCTTATGCAATCAGAGCCTATTAAAATAGAACAACTTTAGTTATAACAGTTATTAATGGTTATTCAATATTTACCTTCATGAATCACCATTTCGTTTAAATTAGGGTTATATTGATGAACAATATAAAATGCGGCAGCCCAAGCCTCTGAGGACTTAGGCTCCAAGGAAGACTCTATATCCGCATAAATTACAACCGGCGGAGATATGCTATTTGAATGCGACTCAAAGCAGAGAGTGGTATTTGGCAAGGGGTATCGAACCGGTTCCTCTCCACAGTTATGTTTATTGGTTTTTCGGTTATAAAATTGAAGACAATTTTCACAAAAATCAGCGGCAGCCTTGGATTTCGAGTGCTGTGAAAAGCATAGTTTCCCCATGCTTGTAATGTACGCGTAATGCATTATTTGCTTGTCTTTATTATTTATTGCTAACAAGTTAATATGACGCGTTCGCTTTTCCTTCGTTCTAATTGTCGGTCCAACAACATTCTTTTCATCGACATCAACTTCGTAGACATTGATGCTGAAATCCGTGTTATTTTTTTCAAATCGTTTAATACCTTCTATGTTAATTGGAAACTTTATACCTGAGAAATCGAGTGATATCCCATTGTAATCAATTATGTCTTCGGAAATATCCAAAACTTTATAATGTGAAGGATTTCTTAATTTCTCTCTGTCATATTTTCGCTTTGCAGCGGTTTGGAAAGTTATTGTTTCATGTTTGACATAGCCCAAATATGCCAAAACACTCCACTTGAAACAGTAATTATCAATGTTTCTAACATTAATTAATGCGTTTCGACTCTTTATTTTGTCTGGGGCAGGAATGTACCCAGCTGCCTGAATATGTTCCAATTTTATGGCTGTGATCTCAAAGTATTGAAAACTTTTTTTCGAAAAATTGTGGTCGTGATGATGGAATTCAAGGCTTGCAGTTATAAGGTAATCCAACGCATCAGAAAATTCCTCGACGACAGAATCAATTTCGTATATAGACTTATATGGTGTTACGAACGGCTTCATCGTTTTCAAGGGTATGACTTCGTCGTATTCATCAATGTACACTCCAAATGCGCTCAACTGAAACTTGATGGATCTGTATTCGCTCAGGCAATAATATAAAATTTTAAGAATATTATCGTTGCACTGATTGCTTAATTGATGTATGTCAGGCTTACTATCATTGGGATAAACTCGATATGATTTTATAGGAAAATGGGACTCTATTGAAATTGGAACGATTTTCTCATTTTGTTTTATATTTATAGCTGCTGCATATCTGTGTCTTTCTGTTGCAATATGGTCTATTTCCATTTTCACAAGATAAAATGCGCCGCATTCGAAACACTTTTTCTGCCAAATACCAGGATTGCAAGATTTCTTACGTTTTTTCTCTCTGACATGTTGTTGATTGTCACGCGATTTGAGTGGTCGTTTTCTCGGGTCAGTATCAGTTTTGTTCATAATAGCCTCAAATGCATTAAGATTTTTCACACAGTATTCGTAATGAGCTTCGAATTCCTTAAAGCTGAAGTTCTCGAGACAGATATCACAATTTATTACTGTTTCCATTTTGTAGATACTTAAGTAATTTACTATTTTAAATTTTTAAGGCACGGGAGTTTTGTTCAGCTTGAACACTCTCTCTTCGTATTACCACTGTGACAGTTTAAACAGGACTAATATTCATTTTTTAAACATCTCTATTCTTATATATGTTTAGGTACCTGATATACACTTCACTCTTTAGGAGATATACACAAAATGTTATGCGAGTCCTTTTTGATCCTTTCTTAGTCCCATATTGACCTGCCACACACAATTTCTGTAGGTAAAGATAAGACTCATAGATAAATTCCATTTGTTGTGTACAATTGCATTGAGTTTGATGATATTTATAAAGGATACGTTCAAAGATAAATTGATAAGAAGTAGCCAATAAAGTTCAACTCAGTAAAAGGTTATATCCAGAATGTCCCAGCATTAAATAATTATATATACACGCAATATATTTTGTATACGTATGTAAAAAACTTGCACAGAATATATGTATATGCTTTAAGTGCACTGCCTCACAACAAAAGCTAACAAAGACTTGCAAAGCACTTTAAATCTTAAAGATTACATCGAGTTAACGCTTCTAGAGATTTGATTATTTAAAATACAATTACAAAACTAAGCAAAAGAAACAATTACACAGTCTGATAGTCTGTCGAGGTCCACTCATTACGTGGCAGGCGTGGCTTTTGCTTCTGGCACTGCTGTTGTAGGGGTCGCCGCATTGGTTGTTCCCACCGAGCCGGATGTCATCGAGGTGGTGAGGAGCACCTCCTGGTCGGGGATGACGGACACGGCCTCCTTCACATACCCGTAGATGTGCTTGCGCGTGTCGTTGACAACATCGCGCACCATCAACTTAAAGAAGTTGGTGTGCAGCGGCGTTTCCGCGTAACGTTCGTACTGATCTAGGGAGTCCTGCAGTTTCAACGTGAGGTCGTAGTTCTTGCGCACCACATCGAGTATTTGCTCCTCCGTGGGCGTGGAAAGACCTTGCTCCGCCAGCCATTCCTTGATCTTGTTCTGGAAGTGCTTTACAATGGCCAATATATTGACCAGGGCATTCAGTAGTTTGATTACGTCGTCTTTGTACTCGCACTCCGGCATGGTTGTGTAGCGCAGAACTGAAATTTAATGAATTACTTTGGTTTTCATAAAAACGTTTTTGGTAAAACCCCTACCCATTGCGTGTATTTCCGTAAAGACCTTCTCCTCGCGGTTCAGTTCGTAGTACAGCTCATCATAGCTGTTTGTGGTGGCCAGGAAAGTGTCGCCGTACGTTATGAACAGATTGAATATATTCACTACCTGCAGTGACAAATGGAATATGTTACACTTCTTGACCAGCGTCTGTTCCTGGTTGACCAGAAACCGCAGCAGGCCAATCAGTGCGGACCACAGCTCCTTCCACGGATAGTTCAGGCGCACTCGGCATCTCTTTTGGTAACACAGAATTCGATGGATAACGCCAATGCACAGCAGATACAGCTCCATGGGAAACTTCTTCATCAAGTGGGACACAATAAACTCCACTAGGAGGTCCAGAAGAGTGGCAGCCAATGGCTGGGACTTGCCCACCCGATCCACATTCAACTTGCGATGACGCATCTGCGCCCGATGCAGCATAACCTTGAAGGTGAGATTGCTGTCGTGCATCATCGAGTTGGCGTACTGATCCTCCGAAATGCAGGTGAGGATGAGAAAGCACAGCTTCAGGTTGGCAATGCTCGACTCGTTTTTGTTGTCCTGCATCACGATGGAGCAGTATTGAAAGACGGCCACCAGGAGATTGGTGGGATATTGAGTAATGTCAATGATAGGAGCATTGGTTAAATCCGGCACTGGTTGGGCCAGGCTCAACGTGTTACTGGGCGAGGGCGGGGCACTGGACTCCGCCTGCGTGTGAGCCAGCGTCGTGATGAAGTTCCTGTTAAGGTGCACTGCCTCGTAGAGGGCAAGCAGAAGGCCATTGTTGGCCTTGATCTGCTGCACCCGCTCGCATCCTTCATCCGACACAAACATGTTCCCCACAATGTTCGAGAGCGATGAAAACCAGGACGAGGATTGCACATTGTTGAGGCTCTGGATATACTGGCGGCAGAAGTCAATGAGCGACTGCGATATCATTTGGCCATAGCTGGAATTATCACAAGGTTTGATTACTATTGAAATAAGATATGGGAGCGCGTGGTAAGTTATCTATTCAATGACGTCATCCAGCAGCAGCTGCCAAATAAATAAAGTTGGTGATTCAATGAATCAGTTTTTTATTTGTTTTATGCCCTGGTTTTTAATATTTTTGATAAATGTGACCTAATTTAAATACTTTCGTTTACAAAGGAAAACGATACAGGATGTTAACAAAAATGTATTTTACTATTTAAAATATGATCTGATAATTTGGCTCTATTTATACAATTACTTATTTTGTAAGGCGACAATGGAGATTCCCATTGGACATCGATAAGATCTACTTACCCATTCAGAGCCAGCTCATCGGCGAGTATGGAGAGCTGCACCACGTAGGGATTGGTCGCCTCGTGCTTGCGGTAGTTAACCAGGATGGTGAGCAGGATTACAATGTCATGTCCGTGCTGGGTACGGAACGTGGGATCGCTAAGTAACCGGACGAAGGCGTCGAACATGCTGTGCATCATCAGGTGCTCGAAGAGGGCGTTCTGGTTGACGTTATCCGTGCCCGTGACCAGAACCTGCAGCAGTTTCAGGCACATGAAGCGGGCGTTCTCGGGCACATCGCCCAGCAGGATGCGATTGCAATACTGCATCATTAGCTTCAGCCACTCGTCCATCTTCTCGTGGCCGAAGATCTCGTTGAGAATGTTGAACGTGGGCTCCGCATTGGATTTCTTGAAGATCCCGTAGAACAGGGAGCACAACGTTTGCAGGCTATTGCACAGACGCTTGGGATGATCTTCTGGGGGGAATCAAGGAATATAGGTGGCTTGCGGTATACAATTTTGGGTCTAACTGGTCTACCCGTGTCCAGCATTTCGATGCACCTCTGGAAGAGGGTGTTCAGATTCGGCTTGACCAGCTGCAGCTGGTCGCTGTTAAGCTTTCCGATCTCATTCTCCAGCGCCTCGAAGTTCGGCTGCAGCAGGAAGAACTCGTTCCAGAACTCCGGACTCTCGCTGCTGGGATCCTCGCCCCGGCACAGCAGTTCGTAAATGTAGACCACCTGCAATGGGATCCAATTAGACATGCAATTCACGGTTCGCCGAGGGCGGAGATCGCAAAGACCTTCTCCTTGGGCCTCTTGGTGGAACCGCTGCCACTTCGCTTGCGTGAGGTCATGGCTGGATGTGGATATTATTGATCTAAGGAATTTGTTTCAGAAACTCATAGTCTGCTAGTATAAAAAATTCAGAAAAGTTGGCAAAAAATAGTGGACAATATTTAACTTGGTGATTAGGGTGTGACCGCAGGTTTGAACTAACGGAAATACCAGCCAAACGGTCATACTGCATTTGCCAGCTCTAAGCCCTTCTTTCTACCAAAGTTTAAGTTATCTTCAGGTTGTTTTTATAAAAAGTATTTAAACCAATTTTATTTATTTATTTAAATTGGAAAACAAAAACATACATTTTTAGGCATAGTCATGAGAAAAATATAATTACTTTTGAATTGGAACTGGCAATGGAACTATCTATCGGCATCGATATATCGGCATTTTCACCTCAGCACAAGACGGTCACACTTTCCATCAGCTGCTCTTAACACGCAGTAGTCTGGTTCGTGTTTTTTTCCGTTTCCTTCGAATTTCACAACAATTGGTCTATTTATTGATTTATTTAAGTGACAATTACTGGTTCAAGATGTCTCTGGTGCGAAACTCCTCCCGGTTGCTGCGATCGCAGTTGAAGCGTGTGCAGAGCGTGCCTGTGGCTTTATATCACGAAAATGTAAGTTTCCCAATTGCCGCGCGGAAAGTTCTTTCGTAATATCTAGAAGCTATATAGTATAGATTGTAGCCGACTTTGTTGTCGTTCTGATAGACAGCGTTTCAGGCGGCACGCAAATTGATAAGGGAGATTAAATATGGAACCCCCAACTGACTAACCGCTTTCTGTTGACAGGTCGTTGAACACTACGAAAACCCGCGCAACGTGGGCTCGCTGGACAAGAAGGATGTCACCGTGGGCACTGGCCTCGTCGGAGCACCCGCCTGCGGCGATGTGATGAAACTGCAGATCAAGGTGGACGAGAACGGCAAGATTGTGGATGCCAAGTTCAAGACCTTCGGCTGTGGCTCGGCCATCGCCAGCAGTTCCCTGGCCACCGAGTGGGTGAAGGGAAAGTCCATCGATGAGGCCGGCAAACTAAAGAACACAGACATCGCCAAGGAGCTGCGCCTGCCGCCCGTTAAGCTGCACTGCTCGATGCTGGCCGAAGATGCCATCAAGGCTGCCCTGGCAGACTACAAGGTCAAGCAGCAGAAGAAGGAGGCGACGAACTGAGGGGCCGTACGGAATCTGTGAATGTAGTGGAGCGAATCTCCGAACAACTACTAAAAACACAACTATAAGTAATCTACAATACAATACAATACAATACCATATACTATAAAGATACTTGGCATTAGGTCGTAGTATGCAATTATTCGCTAGAGCTCTGAGAGTGGTGAGTCAAGTGGACGGCAGTACAAGTACAGTGGATATTGGTTAAGAGAAACTACTTATCCCACTTACGAACTCAATTCTTCTACCTGCTAAGTGAAATTATAATTTAGATTCAGATCTTGCAGCAATTAATTATTATTTTATTAGTAAGCTTTAAATTGAAGTAATGTTTTTTTTGGAAATCTTATAATAAATCTGATATCGTTAATCAAAACTTGTTGCTCTATATTTTGTGCACATAGAATAATGTTATTTCTTAATTGTGTTTTCTCTTAACCCACTTCTACTGCACATTAAACACTCGTGCCAACCGATTAATGCTCTTTTCTGATTGCAGATTGGCCGCGTGACTGCTGATAAGTGCACAGGGAGTCTAGGATTCGACATTCATTGATACTGACGGATAGCTGGAACTGATCTTGTATGAATGCATGTTCACGTGTGTATTTCAATGGGGAATTCTATGTAGTCCCGAGAGCCATTTAAATTTTCTGTTCCCGTTGGAATAAATATACATAAATATTTTATTGCACCATTAGTAAAAGATGTTCAATTGTAATTACGAGTTGATGGTAACTGTTTTGCTTCTTAAGAGAGACGAACGCTCACTCCGCCGCCGCACTCGCCCTTGGACTTCTGCTCGAATGCTGTGAATAGTTTAAATAAGATTATATTCCTAAGGGATTTGATGAAGGATATCTTACGATCGTCAGCATGCTGGCAGTTGTAGTTGGACATAACGCATGG